ATCATTCATAAAGGACATGCCAGCTTCCTGAATTACTCTTAAACACACACACACACACACACACACACTCAGAAGCTGGACGTGTGCGTGGGAAGAGCCGCTCAAACTGGTGTGAGAGTGACTCACAGTCTGCTGTGCAGCTTCATGGAGTCACATTAAAGGCTGTTCTCACAGCGCACACTGGCTGTGAATCACAGAGGCTTTAAGGAGGGTCTGAAACCCATAATTAAGGCTTGACACCCACTAAAAAGTACATATTATTTCTTTAAAAGCAAATATTCTTTTTACTTTTCAATGACAAATTTTCAGTAATGACAAAACTCAAACTTGCCACTAAATATAGTGGCGTTCTGAAGTAACCATGGCGACAGTGGCTTTATTCAGGACAAGGAGGAGCCAAAAGTAACAATTTAGGAATGAACCAATGAAAAATAACTATTAACTTGAATACTGATGGTACACTGACAGAGCATGACAAGTATTGTTATCACTTCATTATATATTTATATATCACACATATACATTATAATCAGTATTGTTATTGTTAACTAAAACTAACATTATTAATTGTGTTTTTTGTTCATTGAAATAAAGCTGAAACAAAATAATAAATAAACATTAGATGAAAAACTTCATCTAGGAAACATACGCTTAATAATAAGCTAAAATTACTAAAACTAATCAACCATGAAAAACATGTTGTTTGACTACTAATCTGAATATTGGGACGTTATGAGATGGTACACTGACAAAACATGACAATTTTATAATTTCATTACATATTTATATATCACAAATATATCATAATCAGTATTGTTAAAGGTTAACTAAGACTAACAATATTGAAAAGCAAAACTAAACTGAAATGAAGATAAATTAAAGTTAAATAGAATTATTACAAAATGCAAAAACTAATAAAAATGATAAAAGTTTGAGACCCCCTCATGATTGTAAAGCGCTTTGGGTGTACAACAATACACAATAAAGCGCTATATAAATGCATCATTCATTCATTATAAAATATTACATTTATATATTATATAAAATATAAAAATGTAGTATTGTTATTGTTAATAAAACTATCACTATTAAAAATGATTTTTGAAAAAAATTTGAATTGTTGCCTTGGCAGTTAAAAATAAGTTACTAAAATTACTAAAACTGAAATAAAAATGCTAAATAAAAATATTGTTAAAAAAGCAAAACCTAATAAAAATGACAAAATAATTTATATAAGTTTACTAAAACAAACATTATAATCAGTATTGTTATTGTTAA